TAGAGAATTTACGGTATTTAAATAGGATATTTGAAGCTTGAAAGATTTGCCCTGGTTCTGATTAGTTTCTCTGCTCCAAATTAATATATCAGTAGCCTATTTTTATCTTTTAATCTGACATTTGATTTAAAAAAGGGGATTTTTTATTTTCCTACTGAAATACTTATTTAAACATTTAGGGATCCTTGATGATTTTTGTAGCTTTTAGCCCTTTAAAATGTCGCTCCCTATGAGATTTTCACATATAAAGAGCAAGCTTTCAAAAAGTAGCTGCATCCAGAGGCGTATTCAGAAAATCTTTCTAAGTGTGGCCAGGCAATAACCAATGTAAACTGAGGGGTGGTCGGAAGATGATTGGTGCTAGAACCTGTTCAACTGTTCCAACAAGAAAATTAACGAGCACAAAGTCCATATTGTCTAAATATAGACAAACTATACTTTCCTACAGCCTTTGCTAACAAATAAACGTATATATTTAAACATTTATCTAGATAAAAGGTATAGTGGATACAATAATTTCAGGTTTGAGTTTTTGGGTGAACATCTTTTCCATTGTCATTACTTACCTACTTTTATCAATAATCATTCTGCATAAAATTGATATTTACAAGTACTTATATCTACATAAATTGATTATATAATACATTTTTGCTAAAATTGTTATTTATGATTTCACTGAAGGATCCTAGATGATTTGCAGAGACATCGTATTCTCTTTACCGCATAAAACACAACATCTTGTTCTGAAATGGGCATGAATTCTGTACCTATCTTCTTTAATGTTAGTATATTGATGTGCATCATTAACCGAAGTTTTTTTGTCAAGTAATTGCTAATATATGAAAAATGTAAATGTTTTGAACATTCCACTTGAGAGTATTACTTTTGCAACCATCTGTATTAGAGGGGGAAAAATGGTAGGGGTGGCCGATGATTTGCTAAGGGTTGCCAGGGCCACCCCTGGCCCCCCATCTAGCTCCGCCCCTGGCTGCATCTCCCCCATATTTACCCACACTTAAAAAATAATGTGTATTATTTAAGATTAACACTTAAACACCAAACAAATGTAGAAACATTTTGAAAATGTAAACTATT